TTAAAAGGGCACCAACCAAAAACTACTGCGTAGAATTAATTGGAATTTTTCACACACAAGCCTTGCTATATGAGCTCTCAAAGCATATAAAAATTATACGGCTTAAATGTGAAGTTGGGTGCAAAAGAATACAATTAAATCCTCTGTCGGGAAAAAACGAAATGACTTTCCGAACAACCCTATAAATAGATGAAAAATGTAAACAGTTACGGTTGTGGAATGACTAAGAAAGTAACTATCAACAGTTTACTATTAGGTTGCTACACATAATTTCTGGACACTTATTGCGATTACAGTTAGTTATTTAAATGAACAATTTGTTCATCTCTAATAGTATGGAGCAGTATTTAAAGTATACCTTGACATTAATATGACACGGATGTTGCTGCTGATGGAATGCGGCGTAATGTCCTATTTCCCTCCGTGATCTTACCAGAGTCGGACTGTACTTTCAAATACATTTTTCTCAAATTTGGATCTGTTGTTAGGTGAGGCATGTAAAAAATTTTTTTCTCTAGAAACATTTGGACATAGAAATCTAAAATTGGGCATAGTAAATCATACCTAGGGTGCCTAAATATTTGCAAGGTTATTAAGGGAGAGAGGGGGAAGTAGTAGTGGTGTTGTTCTGGACCATGTGATTTATTGTTGAAAAGGTTAATAATGACTTGGGGTCTTTTTTATTCCTTAACTCGTGGATCAAAAATTATGAAAAGGACTGAGTTTATGGAAGTATTTTAATTTCACAGTAAAAATTTAGTGAAAATTGTATAATTTTCGGAGAAATTCACGAGTACTACAAATTGGTTTTACACTACACTTTTTATAATTTGTTTTATAATTTACTCATCTGAATTTTATTTATTAATAGTTCAAAAACCAAAATTCTCTTGCAATCATGTCAAAAGTATTTCTGTACGTTTTTCATAGCATGTCAGGAAAACGGATATTTTCACAAGGCTGTTCACCCTATCCCCTTATTTACGTTAGAATAGTTTCGTTCATGCACAGATTCCGTCGACAGAAAATATAAGCAAAAGCGAAACTTTTTTGACGTTGCAAAACAGGCGTCTTTCACGGACGGGACGCCGCAAATGATGTGCTGTTCAGTTTATTCGAAAACTTCCCTTTGATGCGTGTTCCGAAGGAAGACAGACAGTTAAACGGAAGTATTACAGGAACGAGTAAATACGTGAGTATTCGATGTTTGGAAGTTCACTGCATCACATATAACAATCAGGATTGTCACTGTCAGACTTGAGAGAATTTTTAATGTAGAAATTACTTTTGATATGAAATTTTTATTCTTATTACACTTCTACAAGAATAAGGGGTAGGTAATAGTCATCTCAACAGAAACTAGTGAGGAGGAAAATTGGTTTTTATACTAGTAAGGTCAAGACCAATATCGAAAGAACAAGACCATCAAGACTAAAACCAAAACAAGTATGCTATGGGCTGTTTAAATAGGAAGATGATATCTAGATAATCCAAATTGGATTTAATTATTTTGGGGGTAGAAAAGGGTTCTTGGGGTGTTTGTAATTTTGATTAAATTTGTCCAAGACCACACGTACTCACATTTATATACATATACACTCATTTCTATATAAAAACTTTTAACTTTATGATGGGAATTTTTAATTATACGTGTAATAAGTTTGAACAATCGTCAGTCAAAAACTTGACATTTTTGGACTTGACCATTAAGACTTTTGATCAGGACGATTCAAGGAATATCCTCTCCATGATTAATTACAATTGACTAAAGTCCATTTTCTCATAAAACAACTGCGGGGCCCTTAGGGATTCTGGGTATTTAAGGGACGCCCTATTAAACACACAAAATTGCAAGAGTGTACTTATAATAATTTCTCGGTTGACAATTTCACCCTCTCCACCCCTAATTATGCTTCTTTCGCTTTCTACTACTTCTCAACGAATATTATGTCACAAAAGCCACATCTCTTCTATAAACTAATAGCTGCAATTAATAATAACATTGGCACAACTATTAATAAAACGAAAAAAATCGGTTGTCTTTAAAGTCGGTTTACTGATGATAGTTGAACGTGACAACGTCATAAGAAGATACTGATGGAATGGTTTCATTTTTCAAAAGAAAATTTTAATTTTATTTGTTTGATAGATATTTTGTATGGATATAGAGAAGGAGGTAAATGGAAATGTATTATTGTACAGCAGCTGTCCACGCGGACGCATCGCTCACTCAAGTAGGAGAGAGAGACAGATGTCGAACGCTGCCGAACGCGGAGCCCGATTGTGCCTCTTTGTCGCTCGTTCCGCGCTCTCGCTTGCACTTCAAGCCTTAAATTGCGTGCAGCCGGCTCCATCGAATTATAAGACGTTGTCACGTCAAAAAAAATACAACGTGTAATATTATTTGTACACTATGCTTCGCACGGGTGCAATGCTAGTAGTAAATATACTATAGAATGTCTTTATATACAATAATCACAGCTTTCTTGTTATTAGACAATCCAAACTGGCCGGTACCGCCGCAACCGCTATTTCCCTGCATTTTAAGTGTGTAATATCTTCGAAAATATTCATTTAAATTACATGCTGTAAAGGGCCATATTGATTTATATTAAATGCACAATGTATTTAAAAGTACTTAATTGGATAAGGATTAATGCTGTATTGCTTAAAATCTCTTCGTAAATAAGCCATTATTTCTCGTAAAAAGTAAAGGATAAAAAATGGTTATTGTGAGTTATTCCTAAGAGATAGACATATACCATCCCGGACTTTTTTGTAGACCTTTTTAAGATGTACAATACTGTAGAATATTATTTTGATCTGTCTCGTAGGGTTCAACCAGCGTTTGCAATGTAAGCGCAAAAAAAGTGTTTATTTACGACATCACATTACAAACCTCTAAAATTATCAGTGTTTCTCTGCTATATTATGCATGTATTATACATATAAACCTTCCTCTTGAATTACTCTATCTATTAAAAAAACCCGCATTAAAATCCGTTGCGTAGTTTTAAAGATCTAAGCATACATAGGGACAGACAGCGGGGGAAATGCGTTGCATGATTTCGTTACATGGCAACTCGCATGAAACGAACTTACCCTCCCGTGCGTAAAGAAGTTTCACTTCAAAAATAAAAGTACAGCATAATTGATGAACCGTTTACATTACGTTTTTTTAGCCCCTCATTCATTGCCGTATCTCGTCACGTTAAGCAATGTCCCCCGCCCCCTTAAGGACAAATAGAGAAAACGACCAGAATACAATCCCATAATTTCAATTACACGCTTTTCTGACAGCGGCCCTTTCAAATGCTATTAGTAATGTTTGTAGCGTAATCTACTCATTCAGCCAATTTCCTCCTTACAAAGAAAATAGACAATCGAGAGCCACGGTCTAAGATGAAGAACAAGAAGTAGAAGAAGAACGACAACAAGATGATAGAGGGATGTGCATTATGTTATTGCGTATCGCACTATGGCGGAGAGAGACGGAAATAGAAAGAGAGAAGGTGATAGTGGTCGGAGTTACGTATAACAGAACAAACGTAATATTTCGTGTGTCGAAAGCAAAGGGTTCCTGAGGGAATCTGCTACCGGGGATAAGAAACATTACTCGCTGATCTGCTAGCAGATATTTCCAAATTAATCCCGAATATAACTCTAAGAAACCGTTAGCAAACAGTAGATACAGAAGTTTAAGAAATTTG